ATGGAAGGGACTCGACGAGTTGGCGAGCCAACTCGGTGAGTCCGGTTAACCAGGAAGTTGACTTTGACCATGGGGTAAAATAGTCATTTTACCCTAAGATTAGTTATCAGTATTTGACTTAGTGTTTATGGAAATTGTAGCCGGGGAGTTCCGGTTCAGCAGCCAGGCGCTCAGCAAGCAAACTTTCAACAGCTACTTCGAGGTGAGTTACCTGCTAGTAGTAGTGGGTCTAAGTCCACAATGCCGGCCCACTAGTAGGAATTGTATGATTAGATGATTGTCTCTGTGATATGCATCTAGGGTTGCTACTACCTGTGTTATGTTTATGTGTTTGTATGATATGATGCCATGTGTTAGTGATAGTAGGGGAGATAGTCCCCAGGTTACCGGTCGATAGGGCCGAAGGGGCAGTCATGCCCTGCCATGCTAAATAGATTATGTGATATGTGTTATGTGGTAGTGGTAGGGGTGAAATAGTCCCCAACATCCGGTCGAAAGGACCGAAGGGGAGACCAGCACCCAGATATGCTATTCAGTATTCGGTCGAAAGGACCGAAGGGGAGACCAGCACCCAGATATGCTAGTCAGTATCCAGTTGAGAGGACCGAAGGGGAGACCAGCACCCAGATATGCTAGTCAGTATCTGGTCGAGAGGACCGAAGGGGTAGGTCGGGCACCCAGATATGCCTGACAATATTTGTATGTTATGTGGTTATTTGGTATGCGGTACGATGGGGGAACTCACTAAGCTTCATGCTTACAGTTTTTAGTTGTTGTTTTAGGTACCTCTTCAGCCAAGGGGAAGGAGTTGGCGCGGTAGCGGCATATCATACACACGCTCTTGTTTTTCCGCACTATGAGACATTCTGGGATTTGTACTCTGATATTATTATGATTTACGTTCTGGTTTACAAACGCGGGGCATGTTTTATTAAATGATATGGTCGAATGATATTTTTTTACAAATGTTTTGCAAATCACTTAATTAAAAATGAAATTTTTGGCCCATAATTTTTGGGATGTTACAATTTGGCAATCAAAGAAGTGGATGTGTGTATCCCTATCTACTACAAAAGTTGAATACATCGCAATTGCATCATGCACTTCTCAAATCATTTGGATTCAGAATCAGCTAAGGGACTATGAGATAAACATGAAGAAGATCTCACTATACTGTGATTTAGAAAGTGCTATTCGCATATGCCATAATCTAGTGCAACATTCAAAGACAAAACATATAGCACGACAAATACCATTTTATAAAGGATCATGTAGAATATGGAAACGTTGAAGTACACTTTGTTAGATCCTCTGATAAACCTGCTAATATCTTAACAAAAGCCCTACCTGAATCAACGTTCCATCAAATTTTACAAGGGCTTAGTATGATCGAAGTGGTCTCAGTTCTGAAACCAACTTTGTAATCGGATTTTGCTGTTCATATTCCGAATGGTTCCAAGCTTCAGAACGTCTTGGATTTTACTGTTCACACTCTGAATGGTTCCGAGCTTCGGAACGTCTCGGAATCTATTATTGATCAACAGTTTCAGAATGTGATGTATCCTTTGTACATTAAGTGTCTTCCAATTGATTCCGAGTTTCATAATGCTTTAGAAGTCACTATTCATTTATGTTTATGAATTCATTTTACCTCGATATTTTATTTATTTTCTGTTTCTGATTTCCTTTTCAGAAAATCCAAAAATCACAAAAATATTTTTTTTCTTTACGTTTTTCTTTTATTTTTAGAAAACCAAAACTTACAAAAATATTTTCTTTATTTTTGTTTTATCTTTTTAAGAAAATTAAAAATACCAAAAATATTTTACTATTCATCATGATCTCAACGATGGGACAGGTATAACATTATGAATCGTTGCACTAGCTATGTGTCCCTAGAAGCATGTTGATGCATGTTGACACAAGCCTTTGAGACTCTATGTTTGAAGCCCTAATGAGACTTTCATTCTGATCGTTTCTTCCTGTAACGTCTGGTTCCTGGTATGTATTTAATTTATTATTTATTCAAATTATAAGAGCAACTGGACAAGTTAGAAGCCTCAAACTTGTCGAGTAGAGATTATAACGGCTGCTTAAATAAGTGACCTAATCGACGAGTTGAGAGGCCTCAACTCGACGAGTAGAACGACAGGGATGAAACCCTAATTTCTAAGGTTTTCCCCCTATTTAAAGGACCTAAACTTCTCTAACCAACCCCTCATCATCCTCTATAAACCCTAAATCGTATTGTGAGCTCCTTGTTGAGAAACTAGAGGTTTTGAGTGGATTTTTGTGTGTTCTTGTGCTTGGTGAAAGACTTGGAAGAGCTAGAAGGTCATTGAGCTTGACGAGCGGCACTAGATCCAGTATCTCTTCCATCTATGGCAACTTTCTGAGGTAAAAAGTCTCAAACTTGATGCTTGATAGCTTAGATCAATCTTAGTTTTGTTTTATGGATATTTTTGACCCCATTGTTAGAACTTGATATACCCTCCTAGTTGTGATGCTAAAAACTTCCATTCTCAATGCTATTTAGTCCTTAAATTCATAAAAGGGCCCTAAAGTAGTTCATGCTCAATAAAATACCATATCCATAGAAGTAGGTTGCTATATCTCTAGATTTGATCCATTTGAGGTATGCAAAGCCATCAAGTTGTCGACTTTACAGATGTATACCATGGAAACAATGTAGATCTATATATTCTGGAACCTTATATATGAGGAAAGGGCTTAATAGACTAAGAATTATGAGGAACTCGACGAGTTCATGAAGGAACTCGACGAGTTGGTTCGAACAGTTGAGTTGGAGGAAAACTTGACGAGTTACATCGCGATTTCGCGATTCTATGATTCATGGGAACTCGATGAGTATAAGGGTAAACTCGACGAGTTGAGTCAACTCAGAGTGTTGACTTTGACTTTGACTTGACCTTGACTTTGACCATAGTTGACCCTAAAGGGGTTATAATCATGAAATGGTATCTAAGGAGTTTCTTTGGTTCAGAGAGTGAGTAGAGTTGATTCAGGGCAGAGACATTTCAGCTATCATCCGACATTTGAGGTGACTTTCCTCCTGGTTTGAACGGGTCGAAGGCACCAAGGTCGGCCCATATATGTTATGTGTGTTGATTAGTAGCTAAGTGCGGGTAGGGCCCGTATCTTAGCATTATTTGAGGATGGATATGGATTGATAGATTTGATTATACTTGTTGTCTGTGTGATACTTGTATGAATCTCTTAATAGTCGAGTGTGGTTGAGGCACGTATCTCTTAGTAGCCGAGTGTGGGTGAGGCTCGTATCTCTAGTTAGCCAAGTGTGGGCGATGCCTGTATCTCCTAGATAGCTGAGTGTGGGCAGGGCCCGTATCTCACTAAGTGTGGGCAGGGCTCATATTTCAGAGGGCGGGGCCCATTAGCCGAGTGTGGGCGAGGCCTGTATCTCCTAACTGTATGCTATGTGTATGGTATTTGGGGGAGACTCACTAAGCTTCATGCTTACAATTTTCAATTTTGGTTTTAGGTACTTTCGGTAGCAAGGGGAAGGGCTCAGGATGACTGCATTGCACACACCATGATGTCTATTTTGATGACATGGTTTTTATAAATATGGTTTAATTAATTATTTAAAAATGAAATTCTTGGTCATAATTATTGGGACGTTTCACTTCCCAATCAGGCTAATTAATCACATAAGTCATTGAGCTACCTTACTCTTCTCACATTGAGTTAAGCGTTGACTGCTTAGTCTTTTGTTTATAGCAGAGGTACACCTTCTTCAAAACCATCTTACAATTTCTCCATCATATTCAGTTTCACAATTGTAACTCTTAAGACTCTCAGCAATTACCACTGAGGTTTATGGTTATACAACATTTGTGTTTATGATCTTCAAATCGTTATCACTACAATTTAAGTGAAACCCAAAATCCGAAACACATTTTTGTAATGAGGGTGAACAATTAATATGTTCTAGATAATTGGGCCAATGAATTGACGATTAAAAGCTACATGGTTTGTACCTTTCATATCTTCAAATCTCACTTTTTATTTTTATTTTTGAGTGATCTTTATGAAAAGTTCTCGACCCAAGACTTTTCTTCCCAAAGGATCCAGTTTTTATTTTTCTTGAGATTTCACTAATATCCAGTCAATTATAAGATATTCCAAGCTTACTTGTTTTAATGGCTACACCGGTCAAACAAGTACTTCATTTGTATTTTCGAACCTATGTTGAGTTTCGAAATTCGATTGGAGCTTCAGTCACCCATATAAGCATATGAAAAGAATCCTTTCACTATTTCTTCACTAATAGATGATCATAATTCAACGGGAAACCATATAAGCACTTTCAATTCTCTCTTGACTCCGAAGAAAGAGATCATTGCTTGAGATCCAACTGCTTTTGTGTCAATTTTTAATTGATTTCACAGAATCCCATAGATATAAAATTGCTTTCTTTCTTTTTCTTTGGTGCACTCTTGCACAAAAATCTTTATAATTTTTCTAAGTTTTGTTCTGATTCCGATTGGTTACTGATTATTCCGAGACAGGTTATGGTGATTGGTGAAAGAGCAGAATTGAAACGGCAGTTTATTGGGGATAAAATTTCAATCAGGTGCGTCAAATTTTCAAATCACTGATATCACGCGTGTCAGTTAGAATTTTGCCTGGCATATAATAGCTAACACGCTATCCCAGTCTACTTTTATAGGATATGGGAACGTCAAACTGTTGGATTTTCTCTCTCCCCTTATCACAAACATATAAAAAGGGTTTTTGTCGATTTATTTCTCTCACCGCTCACAAACTACTCTCAAAGCAAAACCCCTTTCTCTCTCTACTTACTATTTATCATCTTCTTCATTGATTCCATGGCTGGTTCATCTGAGACTACATTGTTTGCTGACCAATCAGCCTCTGTGGTTATGCTGAATGTGAAACCCGGTCAGAATTTGATCCTCGATCTCACTGCCTCATGCTACAATGAAGCCTTATGACCGATGATTGAGTATTTGCGTTTCTTGCCACTGGATCAAGCCTTGACCATTGCAGAATCCATTCCTCTCATCCATCTTTCGAAGGAGTTCTCAACTGCATATTATGTTCTTGTTGATAAAGTGATTAATTTTGAGGTTAACTCCCGAAAAACCTCCATTACCAAGGCTCGATTCTGCAAAATGCTAGGATTTGGTATGCCTGACGGCCTGGTTGATCCTAATTCCATTTCTTTGGTTGATCTCATTCACATGTTTAACCAATTAGCCTATAATGGTGAGCCTTCTCTTATATCCAAGTTCAATAAGTCTAATCTTCATCCTGTGTGGAATGGTCTTTTCACCATGTTGTTTTAGAGCTTCTCTAAACGCATTGCCGGCTCCGATAGCGCAAGTATTCTCTTTACTACCATCATTTATGGTTTATATCATGACATCAACTTGGATTACGGTTCTATTATCTGGACACAACTTACTAAAAAAACATCTTCTGCCACTCGCAATACTGAAATTTCTTGTGCTTAATTCTGGTCCATTATCGTCAAAAGAGCCCTGGTTCACTTTAACGTTTCTTTTGCTGCTGATGTTGTTGTTGCTGTGATTCTGATCCTATAGACGTCAACATTTATGTTGTTCGATTAAACTAAGTTTAGTTTCATTGTATTGATTCCAAAGGTCATGCTCGCAAAGGTGCCTCAGGACAATGCTATAGTCAATGTCTATCGAAAGTTGCCTTCATCAGGTCCTCGTCAAATGATTGATGAAATGCGAATGGAAATTGAAGAAGCCAGCAAACCGAAGAGGATAGCAAAGCGAAAAGGCAAGGATGGTACTTCAAAAGTGATTAAGACTCCAAAGAAGAAAGTCAAAAAGCAAGCCCGCAAACCAAAGTCTCCTTCTCTAGTCGCCGGGGAGGATTCGGAATCCCAGACTGTTTTGGATTTTTGAAAGGATGATACTGTCCAGCATGAAACTAAAGACAATGTTGCGACCTCGGAACCAAAAACCTCCACTCCAATTCTAATGGTATCTTCTCCATGCACTACTTTTTTGCCATTTTCTGATTCATTTCAGATCCACACTTCACCATCTCTGACCATCACTTCACCTCCTATCACCACAACTATTCATATAACCATTGCACCTATACCAAAGATATTTGTTGGTGTTTCTCAACCTCAAATTTCTGTTCCACTCTCCACTCCATTCTATACCAACTCAAAAACAACAACAACAACCTTTCTTAATACTTTGATGTCTACTGTCAACGTATTTGATATGGGGGCATCTAATTCCGGTGTTACTGTCGGTCCAAGCACTTCAATATCTTCTCCTTTACACTACGATGATCCTGATATCATGTTTAGGGATGATTAGGAAAATATACATGATTTCATTTTTAGTCCCTTCAAAGTCCATCACGCAAGCGATGATGACGAAGCCCCAATGACAAAAAGGGCAGTTTAAAGCTTTAAATGAAAAGTTAGACAAGATTTTGGAGTCTACCAAATCATCCACCAGTTATGAGTACATGTTACAGTCTCATCAGACTATTGTGAAAATGCTAACCAAAGAGAATGCGAAGGTACTTGTTGCCTCAACCAAGACTATTGAAGCATCTGAGAAAACCATTGCAGATACGACTGAAAACATCGAAAAACTACATGTTGAAGTTAAACAGTTTATGGCCAATTTCTGAAGCTCATCTGATAAGAACACTGAAGAGGCCAAATAAGTCATTACGAGTCTCGGAACCACTTTAAGATCGAAAAAGAATCTCTTTCCAAGATTCGTTCCGGCATTCAAGGTTGAAAATGTTGAGATGAATGCTTCCATCATGTCCAAGATTAAGCAGCTTCACAACGATCTTGTTGCTGAAGATGCGATCATGGACAAACTGGCTCAAAAAATTGAAAAACTCAAGGCTTTATCTGTCAAACTGAATTACGCAACCACGCGTCTGGATTACTTGGAGTCCGAGAAGGTAGTGTACCGAAGTTGTGTTTCAGATATAAATTAGTACCTGCAAAGCCATATTGAAACTCGTGACTCAATGCTTACGATTTCAGTCTGACAACACCTCTCTAAGACATGCAAGCCCGTCTTTGCACTGCTAAATCAGTTAGAGGGTGTTTCGGGAAGCAGTGCTATTTCGAAATAAGGGGGGATAATGAAGACAAACAAGAAACCTACAAAGAAGAACCCCAACCTATGCAGAAGACTAAGGAATAACAGTACAAAAATAGAAGGTTGACTAGAAGGGTAATTAAGCTTCTGGATCAAAAGGTAAAGAAAAACTCATTGATGATGATGATGATGATGAAGAGGAAGAATCATCTAAATGTGAAAAGCTTGTCAGAAATTAGAGGAATAAAGAGCTTGATAATATTTTTCACGTTCGTAAAGAATTAGAAGCTCAAGAAAAGGAAGCTATGGATGCAAAAGTCACTCTAAAAACACACGAATCCCTTTTTCCTCCTTGGACCATGGAAAGGATTCTGAATGAGGTTGTTAACAATCCAATCCTACATTGGTTCAAGCCTATGGTATCCTTTGAACTGGTTAACTCGGTTGATTCTCAGTTTGATTTTCCTGTTACTCCAAGATCATTCCTATTCAGATGCTTTGAGCAAATTGAGAAAGCACCACTTTCGGATTATCACGTCAATCATAAGTTCTTCTCTTTTTATATCAACTATGAGAAGCCACAATTGCAAATATGGAGCTTACAAATGATGGTTGCTATAAAGGTTTATGCACCTTTCTCGGTTGATGGCTTAATCAATGTCAAGTTTAAAGGATACAAGGGATCAATTCGTACTGAATTTGATTTCACTCTTGCTAATCTTCCATGTATGAATCCAAATGACTAGATTTCCTTATTCTTGATTTTATCGAAGTATGGGCAGACATATGAACCGATTGTTGCTCACCTGAAAAGAATGCTTATTTTCTATATTCATGAAGTAACATAGATGGATATAGAAATAGCTTCTGCTTTGAAGAAAAAGGCGATTGTGAATCCTGAACCAGAACAGAAGGACTTCCAAAAGCTGAAGCTAGGAAAGATCAATAAAGAAAATTGGAATCTGGTTTATCAACGAAGGGAAGGTGGTAATGTTCAAAAGAGCATGTTTTTATTACTCGACAAGCATCTATATTCAACCACTGTTCTAAACAACATTATAGGACTGGTTGAAGTTACGAAGTCTAACATCTCTGATGATCTGAAATGCTTTACTGACATGATCAAGTGGTATCTTTATGATCATAAATACCCTTCTGAATCTGATGACACGACTATCCAAGGTTGAGAAGAAACAACAGTGAAGAATTGTTGGATTAGATGTCTAAGCCCATAACTATAATTGGTATGTACTTGACCCGAGAGTAGCATGGTTCATTTGGGTTACATGACATTGGAACAATTGGATAGACAAATGAGAAAAAGGATGCTTATGTTTTGTTAATATACTATAAGTTCTAATATATTAATATGAAATCAAATTATTTAATTAGTATTGATCAAGAATTAATTTTGTAATCAAAGGATACTAATTAAATATATAAGGATTAATTATGTAAATCATTCATTCTTATATATGTGGGCTTATGATCCATAGTTCTTTATGTTGGGCTAAACCCATGTGGTAACCCATTGATAGTCCATGGAGGTTTTAACCCATGGAGCATGAAGAATATGGAAGGTCATGCACATTAGGGTTTACATGGTGTAACCCCAATTTAGCTACACTATATAAGGACCCCTCTAGTTCATGAAATTTGCACTAGTGCATACACAAAGAGGGATAGCCGATTTTTGGTGCAAGTATTCTTCTTCTCAAGTTATTCTAATTGGTGGTGGTGTTGTGTGAACCATTTGAGGTGCAAAATTTGAGGCACTAAGCTCTTAAAGTTTCAAGACTCAAGCTTCATCAAAAGGTATGTCATCTAACTAGATTTTTGTAATATAGATACTCCATTGTATGCTAGTTAGGATGATGCTTTGGAATTTTGAACGTGTGCATGTATAATAGAGAAAACATAGATCCAAAGCACATAGGGTTGCATGTACACCATAGGAGTGTTAGAATGCTCAAAACCCAACAGTGGTATCAGAGCCTAGGGCTGTTTTCAATTATCCTTGATGTTGTTGCTTGAAAATTGACTTTGTTTGCTGTCTGGACAGGGGGCTTGATGAGTCCATAGAGTGACTCGACGAGTCCATGTGTAATTTCATCCAACTCGTCGAGTTTGTTCATGCACTCGACAAGTTAGAGCCCCTGACAACATACTTTCGAGTTTTAAGGCTGGAATTGGACTAGAAGCATTACCCTAAGCTATTTTTTGAACTTATAAACCTGTTTTTTATGTGGTAATGATCATTATAATCCAATTCAAAAGATAATTGTCAAAAGTTTCATGTTTTGTATTAGTTTAATGGTTAGCTGATTACATGAAAATTGTTTGATTTGAATTGTCTTGTTCATATTAGTTTAATCTAGATCATGATTCTTGCTAGACATGTTTGTTAGTTTATTAGATTATCTAAATGGCCTTTAATGGATTCAATAACTTGTTCTCAAGATATGGAAAACGATTTTTTTTTCCTTTAAAAGAGTTATAAACTTGAAGAGTCTCTTTTCATAAATTGTTTTATGACCTCTAAAACTTGTCCTCAAATTATGGATTTCAAGAGTCTTGCCGTTAAAAGCCATATTAAACTCATATGTTATGGATTCCAAAAGTTTTTTTTGAATTGTTCAAAACTTGCCCTCAAGTTTTGGAATTTGTAAATGTAGAGTCTTCTTTTGACACATTTATTTCCAAACCCTAAGAATTTTAATAGTTAAAATTCAACCCTTATACTATTATAATATTAATAGTTAATATATATATATATATATATATATATATATATATATATATATATATATATATATATATGTATAAGATTAAAGTCAATCTTACCGTTAGTAGGCCTCATTTACGAAGCCGGTCTATAACCGGGGGGGGGGGGGGGTATACAGTTACTGCTTATAAAATGGCAGTTTAATGGGTGTCCACTCACACTCACCGCTTCCTTGACTAGTGGAGGGTTGTTAGCTGAATGGGTAGGATATGACTATAATTCTCCATTCATTAAAAGTATAATGATAAATATAAAGTAACTAAACTTTATTAAATTCCTAATCATAGTTACTTTAGGAAAATGTGAATTTGGTGCTAACCCATGAACTCGCACTTTGCACTTTATTTAAGTCGTTAGTGGAGCGTGTGTGGTTAATCGGCACACTAATCTGGGACTGACAATGCGTGACAAATGGTAACTTGATGTTAATCATAGATCAATGAAGTGTGTGTGGTTAACCGACACATTGATTAGGTGGTTGTAACATTGAGTGTATCAAGATAATTTGCATGGTTATTCACTCCTCGTTTGTGATCCTCGACATCCCAGTCACAAACTTGAAGGGCACAATAGAGATTTAAACTTGTCATTGAATAGTTCAATGAATCTCACAGGGTCTAGGTCTTTCTATTCATTTAAAACCTTATGATTCATTTTTCATGGTGGAAATTGGTAAATCGTCATTTACCTACCTTCAAATATTTTGTAGCTTGGATTATGGCATCCCTCTTCTAAGTTATAAAATATTGTGTTGGGTCCTAGCCTTAATATTTCAAATTGGGTGTATATTAAGGACTTAAATCAACTAACTTGAACATATCCCTTGTAGATGTCTAGTTCAGACAATTATGGTCTACCCAAATCTCTTAGAACAAGCTTCCTAATTTAAGATGATGCTCCACGATTGGATCGTGAAATGGAAATCATATTTCACTTTCTCCTCCTCCTCCAAATATTCTCCCTGACCCACAAGCTCGAAGACTTGAAAAGTTCAAGATCACTCAAGCCCTACTTGCAATGAAACATTAAGATGGAAGTCATGTGTGTACTCATGTCTTGGAGATGAAGTCACACATTGAAAAGGTTGAGAATGTTGGGTGTCGTTGTCCCAAGGAAGTTGGTTATTGAATGGTTTCTTCAGTCACTTCCGGAGTCATATAGTGAGTTCATTAAGGACTACTATGTGACAGACCACGACATGAACCTTAATGATCTTACCTACTTGCTTGTTGTTGCTGAATCAACATTGATTTGGCGCACTGATAAAGCAAACTTGATTATAGCCATAATTTGGAGCGTTTTGATTATAGCCATGATTTGGCACACTAGTTGGTAGCAAGTAGCTTGTAGCGTTTTGTTAAATGCTACATGAAGTAGCATTTGGATTTGGAGCGTTTTGATTAAACTAAACGCTAGAAGCTTGTAGTGTCAAACGAAGTTTTTTTGTTTTAAACGGAGCGTTTTGTCAAACGCTACAAGCTAGAAGCTCTCAAACGCTCCGTGCCGAACACGCCCTTAATGTTTTAGTTTGAACATATTTTCATGAATGTTTTTAATTTTTATTCGCATCTAGAATTTATTCATGTTAAATTATCTATTTTATTTATGAAATCTAACCCACAAACTCAAATTTAACCCACGAGTCCGTCAACCTGTGAACCCGTATAAATAAGTGGTTTAGCGGGTCGTATATGTGTTTATATTCCAAACTCGCCAACTCGCCAAACCGTGACTTGTATAGTTGAATGAGTCGTGTTCGGGTTGGTGTATTTTGACCCGTCAACCTGTGACCTGTCAACCCGAACACGATACGATTGTGAGGCCTACCTAACTAAAAGTAATTTTAAGATAAAACCATACTCTCTTCATCCTAAAATTATTGTCACTGACAAAAAACATATAAATTAAGAAAACATAAATTACTACTAACTTTATTAATTGAAATGACCATTGTACCTTTTGTTGCATTTTATTTAATAGTCATTACATTTAATTTCATGATAGTTTAACTAATAATGAGAGATGTTTTGGTAAAATAGACATTTATTTTTAGAAGTAAGCTATAATTTTAGGACAATAAAAAAACATAGACTACTAATATGGGATGGGAGGAGTATTTATTTAATAAACTTTAAGGTTTTTATATTAATAACGCTCACTTAATATGTTAACTAATCATTCTTTCAAAATGTAATAATTTTCAAAAATTGTGGTCCAAGTTGGAAAGTAGTTTGCATGCATGCATGTAAACTTGAATCAGCGATAAGAAGATCTCACGTTGATTAATATCGATGAATATTGTTTTGGGGTTATAAATGCACGTATATGATGATTAGCGCATGCAATTTTTCGTAATCTGTTCCCAGCCGCAATGAGGGACCTACAATATCCAACTCTATACCAACGATACTTCATCATTTTATTTTACTTTCGTTTCTAGGACTCTGTGTTTGATTGACTGAATTACAAAAAGAATGTTTGACATAAATATTGACATTGGTCGAGTTAAAGAAAGAAAAGGGGATCGAGTTAATATCAGGGACGAACTATATATCGTTTTAAATTAAAGATATGTTGTAATGTTTGTAGTGTAAGAAAACTATACTCTTCATGGTGATACTATTTACCTTGATCGTATTTTTTGTATTCATTATTTGATTAAGATGGAAATCTTGTTGATTTAATTCGCTCTTTTTTTTTACTATTCAACTCAATCCAGCTCACGTATTTGTTGTATTCAATGATAATGATCGGGGATCTTTTGAATAAGAATGTTGAGAGAAGCTTCCTCGAATAGATAAGAGTTTTGAAGTACTAAAAAACATAATCCTCAAAAGATGAAACTACAACAAGAATCAATGAATCCTTGTTTTTTTTCTTGTTTCTCTCTCCAGGATTACTAAGCCTAATGTGTGTGTGTGTGTGTGAGAGAGAGAGAGAGAGAGAGAGAGAGAAGATGGGGTCCAAGGTGATGTTAAAAGAATGTAGCAAATGAGTTTAAAGGAAAAGGTGGTTTGATGAAGAAGACAAGAGAGAGATGGAAAAGTGTAATTGGGGTTTTATGGGAGAAGCCCCTAAACAAGAGTCTTGTGTACTTTGGAAAAAGTTAAAGATTTTGAACCAAGACAGCTACTTCTTATTGTCTCCTCTATGGGGATCTTATATATAGTTTATCTTTTTTCTTTATTATCATATACATACCCTTCTTAAATGATATCCGCCATTTAACATGTGGCTGAAAAGTTATATTAATATGGAAATATTATATGTAAATTTACATGAATGCCATTATAAACACTATACATGGTAGATCTATAGTGTTAACACCATTACGATTAATATATAGTGGTCAATTCCAATTTGGTTTTCATTTTAAAAACTAAAATCTTGAAATTAATGATG